AGTAATTCAGTAAATTTAGATCAGCACAATAATCACTCCCAAACATTTCTTTTAAAATTTTTCGAAATCAAGAATTATCATACTGAATAATGCCAAGCATCTTGTTATACATTAAAAAAATTAAGAACAGCAATAAGCACAGTTCTGTAAAATACTTCTCAAGAGAGATAAAAATGACAGCGTGCATCTTATGACAATAGCGAGCATGATTTGGCACAGCATTTTCAGAATTAAAAAAACAAAATTAAAATATCAATATAAAGCACTTTTATAGCTATGCAAATTCTTAAGATACTGTTGGGCATCTTCATGCAAGCTTCCAAGACTGAGGAAGTGATAACAATATTTTACAATCTTCAAATACACAGATGTATACTTTATTGCCATTAATGACTGGATTTACTTCATGGAACATAAATAGCATTAGCTATACATCATCAATACCTGTATATCGGTACTAATGCAAATAGCATTAATATTAATCAAATATATACATGTCATCAATCACAAACCATACACAAAACCAGCTCCAGCATTTTTGACAAGTCATCTATTAAGATACATATTGATGATTTGTATATCATCAACACATATCATAGTCAAATAAAAGGATCATGAGCTGGCAGTGGAAGTGTCTGCAAACCACAGTTCTCAAAACTAATACAAAACACAAATTTAATGAAGCTCAACATGATATGATCATTTGTGATTCCCAAATATCCATGAGATTTCAAGAAAGTTCTATACACCACATCAATGAATGAGTGATGTAGGAAATGGAAATATCAAGAGAGTTACAAAATTTCCAACATTAATCTCCAAAGCTGACAAAAATTCAAGATTCAGATCATCAGTTCTTTTGACAAATGTATGCCAAACCACAGAAACTGCAGTTGGAAGCTTTTAACATATTTCAAGCAATTCTTGGACTATTTATCAAGAGATGTTTCCACTTGGATTCTATGGATGGGTAGCAAAAACAAGCCAATGATTGTGCAATATTCCCACCATGAAGTCTTGTAAAGTTCTCATTTGAACCCTTTTTGGTTTGATATTTATGTGCTTTATAAAAGCAGTCCCCCCATAGGGTCATTTTTTGTACTGTTTGAGGACTGTACTTAGACAAACTTGGTACAATGTACACAGTTAGTTAATATCTCTTCCTGTGGGTGCAGTGCAGCAGATGGGCAGACATTAAACTATTCCTCCTTGTTTTCCAGAGTGAGTTGAGAAGACCCACCTTCACAACTGAGTCAACTGAGCAAAGGCTTCTTGCCAATGAAGTATTTTTTGGTTTAATATGCCCCTCCCACTTAAAATGAAGTTTAGCAATTTAGATATAACTCTGCTTGTTTCCTAAATACACAAGACTATAAAGCAACATTATATAATTCTGCTCTGCTACAGCAATAGTTTGGAGTTTTTTCACTTCTCTTTTAGCATAATAAAGTGCCATTCATAAAGCAAAGATAATAATTCAGTAATCTATCGAAATGGCAATGAATGAACTTCAATGTATGCTTAAAGCTGTTTTTTTTTTAACCCATCTGAGCATCCTTGGGATGAGTTAGAGGCACCAGCTGTGAACTAAACCAAATTACCTAAAAACTAATTCTAAGCTACTCAAAAGAAATGATGCAGAATATATGGAGATATTTAAATATTTTCTTATGTGTATCTGGTCATTAATGGCAATACAGTGTACTTTGTGCCAATAATGACACCTGAACCTGAGAACATATTTAATCTAACTGCCAGTTTTGATAAATCTATGTTATAAAAATACAATAATGAAGCATGTACTTAATTTTAAGGGACTTCTTTATTTTTTTTTTTTTTTTTTTTTTATTTTCTTTACTTGAACTAAGATGGAAAAGACCCATAAAATAAATATTATCAACCAAAAACAAAAAGGGAAAAAAAAGCAAAATTATGCAAGATACATATATAAATTTAGTATCTTAATTTTAAAAAAAAATAATATACATTGAACAGGCAATGAAAAATATATAACAAACATTAAGACAGTGTTTTCAAACAATGCTTACAAAATGGTCTTTATTTTAAAATAAGTTTAAATTTTTTTATAAACTTGTTAACTTAAAAAATAAGTGAATGCAGTAATTGGAATCCACAGTCTTTCAATTTATTTCAATATCCATAACTGGGAGAAAGGGAAAGGGGAAAAAAGAGGAGAAATGAATTTAAAAGACTCTCAGCATATACTAGCCATTTACAACCAATAAACAACTATTCTTTTCTTCAACTAGTTGTTCAAGTTAAGTTATAACAGTACCACTACTCCTGATTCATCATACAAACAAGTTTTCATGCAAATTACCATTATTTTACAAATACAGTAAAATTTTAATAATTAAAGAATTAGTTTTATGATTAAAATTATCAAGATTTTTTCCTCCTAATTCCTAATGATGTGAAGTAGCAAAAAAAAGCAAATTTTGGAAAACTGTTGACACTCAAAATAAATAAATAAATAAATAAAATAAAATAAAAGCATGGGATGATATTTTACATACTAATTGCTTTCATACTCTATGAAAAATACTACAGTACAAAGTCCGTAATCCGGACTCGTTGGGACTTCGGCGATTCCGGATTAAGGGTTTTTCTGGATTATGGATCATAAATTAAAATCTGGTGAGATGCCATGCAGAAATTATACAATTAAAAATATGAAACCGTAATGTATGAAATAAAAAGCAATTACGATCTAAACGGTATCAAAATTTATATATAAAAAAAAAAGCTTAATATTTATTTGCTTACTTTACTAAACATTTCTTTCAATGTAAGTTGTTTAAGTTGCTTCTTTTTTGTGCTAAATGCGCATGCGTAAACATTAAACGCGCATGCGTAACATTAAACGTGCATGCGTAAACAATACAAAAAAAAAAAAAAAAAAAAGTTTGTGGCTTTGAGGTCCGGATTATAGATCATTCTGGATAATGGAGTCCGGATTACAGACTTTGTACTGTACTTAAATATTAATTAATCCTTTGAAATGAACTTGCACGGCAGATAAATTTAATGATTTTATAAAATACTATAAAGTGAAATAATTTTATTTTTACCCCTTTAGTATGAAGTGCTTCTGAGTGCAGAACTTAAGATGAAAAAACAAAGATGGTCATAAACCCAACAATATGCATTGATAATCTATGTATGAATATAAAAGTTAATGAATGAGTAACATCTCATTCATTCATTTATTTAATATCTGACCAAGGAGGATATTGATTAATATGCAAACGGTTAAATATAAAATGTTAACACTTTTTAGTATGGATTAGAATCAAACAAATATTAAATCGCTCAAAATTTACATTTTCAGTATACACTTAACATACCACACATTTTTACCCCTTGATCATTTTGCTATAATTACTAAAACACATTCTTCGGAATTTATCATCTTTCATTTTTTTCCCATACACATCTAAAATCTTTTGCATAATTTGGATATTTAAATGTATTTATTAGTTTTCAAAATCTTGTTTTTTTATTTGATTACAACATTCCAATTTTTTATAATTTTGCTGATTTCTGCTCCTAATTCATTTGTGGCATTTCCTTTTCTTTCAATATTACATCAAATAACTAATTTGTTTATTATATAATTTTGATCAGATTTCTAGAATTATTTTTTAATCCACTTAGGAGTTGTATGACATTAATGAATAATTAAATACTTCATATGCAACATTAAAAGAATTTATTACTCTGAATGTAACTTCTATTATTCATTGGGTAGACGATCTCGTGGCCACAGCCCATGTTATATGACACTGTTTTATTTTTTAAAATTCTTTTGATTACTCATTTCTCTTTGGCTTTATTATTTTCTTTTGTAATAAGTTCGACTTTTATTTTATGAACCTCTTACCATTTTTCTTATATTTTGATTTATGAAAACCCAACTAATCCAGAAAGTTCTTAAAAAATGTCCATGATGTTATTTATGACTGTTTATAGCATGTAAAAGAGATTTTTGTAAAAATCCATTTTCATAAAAAATGACCTAGAACAAGAACAAAAATAAACTATGCTTTTTCTTTCTTAGGAGAAAATGGATATAATAGAAAAGTATTAAATAAAAAGAAGACTAATACGTGACTATTATTATCAGGACAAGATGTATAAGCTATAATTCTGGTATATTATCGAAAATATCTCACTACCACATCATTTTTAACTACCTACAGCATTACTGCATTAAAAACACTTAATTTCAATGGAAATCATGCTAAAAATTACAAACTCATTCCTCCACAAATATGTACTTCAGAAAAAAAAAAAAAACGCAAAATATCAAATTTAAGCTTTTCTATTTCTATATCCCTAACTATCCCTCAACAATCAAATATTCCTTTCATTAATCATTTTGAAAATCAGTTATAGGAAAAATACTTCCCCCTCCCCAATTTATACCTTAAATGATAAAGCCTATATCTCTTGTGCTTAGTGAAGGCCGTATACCTTAATCATCTGAAGTTCTGAAAAATCCAACAACAGAGTTGCAGAGTCTAAAAGTTATTTCAGAATAACAAACTAAAGCAAATGTATGGCAAGAAGATAACAGTTAAGATACACATAATAAATACAACATCCATTTTACGACAGGATGCACACAGCATTCCTTAGTTCAGATTAAAGAAACAGTTTTATATCTGACTTTTCTCGGCTTGCCAAGTACCATCAAATGTTTAACAATAATTTCACAAATTATATACAAGAAACAATGCCAACAATATATCTTTGCATACACTCAACTACAAGCATGATGAAAAATAATTTTGTTAAGAAACATGTTTGAATACATTTCTTAATAATCTTCCTAAAATTTTGTATTTAAAAAAAAAGCTTTGATAGATTGCTTTCTACAGATGAATTTTAAATCTATAATAGATTACATTTTGCAGATATATTTGAAACAGGTTTTCCTTTTTGGTATTAAATAAATAAATAATAAAAAAAACTGATCCTTTAAAAAATTTTAATTTTATTCTTTTTCCTTCTTTTTATCTGTGGTCTTTTTACTAGATTCGACTTTTTGATCTTTTTTTGCATTTTCGGATGTTTTTGGCTTTGATAATCTAATTTCGAAAGAAGATGTGAATGTCTTGCCTTTCTCTTCACAACTTTTGGAGTCTTCAACCACAGCCGCTGGTTTGTCAACTAAACAAACTTTTTTGGTAATATTTTTGGAGTCATCACCCATAGTAGGCTTGTCAATGGAACAAGTCTTTTTTGATGTAATAGTCCCTTTTTTAGTGTCATCTGAGGATTTAGATTTTACAGTAGGTGTTGCTGCTGATGACGCACCAGATATGTCTTTACTCGTGGTCTTTTCAGTTGCGCTACATCCTTCTTTAGATACAGTCTTTTCAGTTATTTTCTTCACAGGTACACTAGATCCTTCTTTAGATGCAGCCTTTTCTGATATACTGGATCCTTCTCTAGAAGTAATTTTTTCAGATATATTATATATTTCTTTAGTTGCAGTTTTTTCAGTCGTACTAGATCCTTCTTTAGATGAAATTTTTGAAGATATACTAGATCCTTCTTTAGTTGCAGTTTTTTCAGTTATACTAGCTCCTTCTTTAGATGTAATTTTTGAAGATGCACTAGATCCTTCTTTAGTTGCAGTCTTTTCTGTTACATTAGACCCCTCTTTAGATGTAATTTTCGCAGATACACTAGATCCATTTTTAGATGCAGTCTTTTCAGCTAAACTAGATGCTTCTTTAGATGCAGGCTTTTCAGAAACACCAGATTCTTCTTTAGATACAGTCGTTTCAGTTACATTAGGTCCTTCTTTGCATACAGTCTTTTCAGTACTTCGTACCTTTGTTTCAATCAAGAATGCATCTTCAGTTTTTACAACTTTCGCTTCCAAGCTTTTTGAAGGAATGTTATCTTCACCTTTTACAGATCCATTACTTTTCTTCTCTACTCTGAAAACTGAAAATTCTGCTTTCTGAACACAATTAGACTGAATATCTGTACCGGACTTCTCACTACTTTTGGCAGGTATCTTGTTATCAAACACATCTTTCTTTTGAATACTTTTATTTTCTGTGTCATGATTTGCTTTTTCAACAGTTTTTACAGTTTCCTTGTTTGGGGAAAGCTCTTGTTTCTGAATACTTTGGTCTCCGATCAGATTCATACCTTTCTCTGAATCCTTTACTTCCTCAACAGTTTTCTTTTCCAGCAGCTTCCCATTTTGAGCTTCAGCTGAAATTAGTTTATCACAATTGCTTTCTGATGGCACAATAGAAACATCCTGTTCAGCAGAATGTTTTTGAGCGGAAAAACCTGGTTCTGTATTTTTATCTATATCTGTGTCAAAAGCAGATGTTGGAGCAGGTTCAGATTCACTCCTTGCTCTTCTAACATTACAGCTTTCCGAAGGAGGTAATGCTGAAGAGTGTACAACATTGAAATCTACAAAAGAAGAAGGACAACTAGTGATTTCTATGTCAGGAGTTGCACCTGCTAATTTATTTGTAGCGCTCATATTTTCCGATTGCACAGCAATCTGTTCATCTTTACGAGATTCAGCTTCCTCAGATGAGAAAAGTTGCTGAGTTAATGATGATTTAAATGGCTTTTCCCCTCGCTTTCTTAGTTGAGAAACTGTTGACCGACTAATTCGGCCTTCTAACCTGGATTTTGGTGTGGTGCAGTTACTTTCATACTCTTGAAATGCATAATGATCACTTGATGTATCTGCTAAGTCAGTCAAACTTTTCCCAATATTTGAAAAACCATAAGGAGATTGTGAAGAACGCTGGGATGCCATGCACAGTTTAGAAGATCCACTATGAGATAAATACTGGGAACGTGGAGAAGGAGATGATGAAAGAGCCAGAGGAGAAGCCTGCCCAGAGAAAGACTCCCGCTTTGCTTTTACTTCAGCAGACTTTGGATGGAGACGGTCAGGAGATAAAGCTCTTCGTAAAAGAGGGGAACTTGGCTCTGCGCTTTTGGGTCTCATAAAGGATTTTTTGGCTGATGAACATATTGTTGCAGACAAGGGCAAAACTGAGGATGATTTAATAGTTTGGAAAGTCTGAGCCATCTGAGGATTTGATGGGTGATGACCAATGGGAAATGCAAGAGGAGAAGGTGATCTTGTAGGAGATGTGGATGTGATAGGTGATGGAGATGGTGTACGAGCAAGTGGGGAAAGTGGTATGTGCCCAACTGACTTTCGTCTAGGAGAATGGAATGTTTGTGTCAATTTATGCTTCAGACCATGAAGAGAGCTCGGACGAGGAAAGTGAGGAAGATGAGTAGAACTTGCAGGAGAATTAGGAACACTAGAGCTAGGAGAGCTACTTTGAGAAGAATTGCCAGTGGAATGAGGCGAATCAGACTGTGAGCAGAGTCTGGCTGTAGGAGGTGATCTGGGGCTTTTTGTTCTAGTTGGAGATGCAGGTAAACTATCAGCAGATGCAAGAGTCCTGGTCAAAGACTGGAAACTACGACTAGGTGTAAGAACAGGGGAAGAACCAGAAACAGACTGATGTATTTCTGCACTAGCTCGTTTGCTGCTTAATCTCCTAAGCAAAGAGGCCCTGCGTTTTTTATCAGAATGACTGTCTCGCTTCACTTGTGCTGAACGACGATGACAAGAATATGGTCTCCTCGCCATTTTTATAGCAGATGGATTCCTTTTTCGACCTCCCGATTTTATGGTTGTGCTATCAAGAGGAATAGTTCGAATGTTTATACGATCACCATTAGAAAGAATTAGATGCAGTACTTGGTGATGGAGAAGACCTTGAATTGGTTCTCCGTTGATATGAGTTATCAGATCTCCAGGCCTTAAGCCAGATTCAAATGCAGGACTGTTATTTTCAACTGCCTGTTAAAATTAAACACTCATTTCAATTTGCTATAAAGTTGGGAAGGCATGGCTTATTAAAATAAAAAGTTAAAATAAAATGTAATACCAATTTTAACAACCATTAAAAATATTACTGCTGACAATAACAAAAAAGTAGAGAATACATACAACATATACTAGTTAAATTTAAACTAAAAGTGATGATATTATGCTATAAATAACAATCATTTTTCTCCTTTCAACACATCACCATACTTTGAAATATATACAAATAACACTAGGTGAGAAAACTACCATTCAAATAGGATATACACTGGTTATCATAAATTAAGGAAAAATCACGATTACTGAAAAAGTTACATATGGAACTTAATGAAACTTACCCACAATATACAACATATAGTAAGGTATCAAATAACACCAAAAAAAAAAAAAAAAAAAAAAAAAAAAAAAAAAAAAAAAAAAAAATTACCAGACAAATATGGCAGTATAGAAATTAGCACATGTATAAAATGAACAAATCGAAGGTGTCAGTTTGCTATAGAAAAAGTACCTTCAATATGGAATATGATCGCCTCTAGAAGCAATACAGCACATACAGCAATGTGTGATGCTTTCAATTATGCGGTCTATCAGTTCCATAGGAAGCGAGAGCCATTGCTCTTGCAAAGCAGTTGCAAACGCGACAAGGGTCTGATTGGGCGGATTGAGAGCAGCTAGACATCTCCCTAAAGCATCCCAAACGTGCTCGACAGGATTCAAGTCCGGGGACCGAGCTGGCCACTCCACGCGCATGATTGTTTCCTGTTGAAGATAATTATCTACGATGCGAGTCCTGTGTGATCTTGCACTGTCATCCTGTAGTAGGAAAGCATCACCTATTGCCCCCATAAGGAGATTACCCCAGGAATATTTTCGCATTGTACAGTTGATCTATAGGTGGAAGGACGAAGATTTTATGCTGGAAAGAATTGCTGAAGAACTGGTAAGGGAAGAAAGCCGACTTCGCCAGGTAAATGCCGATTTAGAAGACAGCAAGGTAAGCGTGTTTAATACTATTGGTTCAAATGCAGGGAAAGATAAAGTTGAAAATAAAACTAAATTTAAGAAAAAAATGGGGAATATGAGAATAGGACGGACCTTGTTTCAGATGTCATAAATTTGGACACTTAATCGCTCAATGTAAAGAAAATGTAAGTAAAAATCAAAAAGTTTAAAATAGACGATAAAAATGGACAGTTTAAAGATAAAGAATTAATGTTAGTAGAAAATTATGTAACTACAGATAAAGGAGGTAACGCAGATAAATTTAATTGGGTCATAGATACTGCAGCTACAACTCATTTCTGTAATAATAGAAATTTAATGACAAATTTTGAAGAAATAAACGATATACGTATGTCTTTAGCTGTAGGAAATTGAAGTAAAGTACTAGGAAAGGGTACCGTCAAATTTGCAGTAAAAGTAGGCAATCGAATAAATTGGATCGAGTTAGATAATGTGTTATATGATTCAAATCTAAGGAGAAATTTACTATCGGGAGCAAGGTTAGAAAAGGCAGGTGCTCATTTTGTGATTTCAAAAGGGAAGATGTGGATATACTTTAATAACTGGGATAGATTATGCTACGCTAAACGATATTACGGACTTTATCACGTAAAACCATTTAGATATGCAACAAATAAAAAGGAAGCTGGTTACGGTACAGAAATTGGAAAGTTAAATAAAGTAGACGATGTGATGCTATGGCATCGGAGATTTAGCCACGTAAATTTTGATTATATTAAGAAAACCGGTAAGAATCAAAGCGTGAAAGGGTTACCATACTTTTCATGCGTAAAATGAAATGGAAAGGGAGGTTTATTTAGTAAGTACTGTACATAATGACAACGTAATAAAACAGAGAAAAAAATATAAACAAAGAAACCAGAGCTAGTGATTGTTTATAATAAAAAAATGGGTGAATGGATATGAGCGATGGAATTATCATAGCGTACTCTACAGAGGTGTGAACCATGTATTATTGCTAAATCTAGTACAATAACTTTTAAAACTGTTCCGAAGAGATCGGATAAACCATTGCAGTTGGTTTATTTAGACGTTTGTGGCCCACTACCAGTTCCATCTAAGGGTGGGAATAAATATTTTCTTGCTATTGTGGATGACTATAATAGATTAGTAACAGTGTATTGTATGAAAAATAAAAATGAATCGTTCTACAACTTGAAGAATTATCATAGGCAAATGGAAAGACTTACGAATAGAAAATTAATAAGTATATGCCGATAATGGTGAGGAATTCTGTAACAGGCAATTCGAAGGGTACTTAGCCGAAAATGGAATTAGTGTTGAACGCACAAACGCGTACACCCCAGAAGAGAACGGTGTGTGTGAACATTTTAACTGAACGACATTAGACGCAGTTAAAGCTATGCTTAATGATGGTAAAATGGGAAAAGAATGGTGGGCAGAAGCTCTTGGCTGTTTCGTACATACGTGGAACAGAGTATGACATAAAAGCAGTAAATGCCGAACCCCTTATGAAATGTTTCTAAATAGAAAACCCAGAGCTGTTTATTTTAAAATATTTTGGTCGTAAAGCTTATGGTGGCGTGCCAAAACAGATTAGAAATAAATTACAAACGAGGTGCAAAGAAGGAATCATGGTAGGATATGCGAAAGAAACTAGGGGTTATAGGATATGGCTACCAGAAGAACGCAGATTAATAGAAACTTGTAATGTGAAGTTCGATGAAAAACTGAATGCAGCAAATGGCATCCTAGAACAGAAATCGAAAACTAAGCTTAAAAGACTACAGGAATCTGAGCTATTAGCAGAATCAGATGAAGAACAGGAAACTTCTAGAGAAGAAATAAAGTTGTCAGATGACAAATCTACCCCGAAAGAAGTATCAGACTTAAACTGGCTAAGAAAAGCAGTTAAAAGGCCAGACAGAACACGACCGACATATATTATTATGTAGAGGAAACAGACACCCGTTTTAGATCCTATAATGATATTGAAAAGTATTGTGAGGCAAGAAATATTAAATTTGAAAAAGATAACTTTGATTTTAGTGGAAAAAACGAATACTCTAGGAAAGTTAATTTTGTAGAACAGGAGACTAGCTCCGTGTCTGAAGAGGCAAATTCCGTAAAAATTGTTATCCCACAAAATTTTAAAGAAGCACAAAAATCAGTAAATGCCGAAGAATGGGATAAGGCAATGAAAGAAGAAAAGAAAGGTTTGGGAATTAGTCGAAAAGCCAGAAAATAAAACTATGATAGGAAACAAATGGATCTATACGCTAAAAAGAAATGAAAAGAATCAAGTGGTTAGATACAAAGCATGTTTAGTAGCACAGGGATTCAGGCAGAAAAGAGATGTATTATACATCAGCAAAAATATATCGAATAAATTTTTGAAAAATTTAAACATTTCCAGATACCAATAACTTCACTTCCCACAGCTAAAGGCACTAACTATTCTTACAAAATTAGATTTTCCATCTACAAGTGCAGAAATTGCGGAAATGCATACATTACAGAAATCTGTTGTGATGTTTAGTTTTTGTAGCTAACAGGACAAGGCCTGATATTACATATACAGTGAATATCTTATCACAATTTCAGGAGAATCCTGGAAATTAGGCATTGGGAAGCATTGTCGAAATTGCTTGGTTATCTCAATAGTACTAAATTATATAAGTTAAACTTATCGAAGATTAAACATCTAAATTTATACTGTTATTCAGATGCTGATTATGCAAGTAATAGAGATGACCGCATGTCCATGGGAGGATTTATATTATATTTAGATGAAGTACCGGTAATCTGGAAAACTGTTAAACAAAAATGTGTAAGTTTATCAACCATGGAAGCAGAGTTATATCGCCTTATCGGAGGCAGTGAAGGAATTAATGTGGATGAAAAATGTCTTACAAGATGAAATTTTAAAGTTTAATTTAAGAGAATGTAAACTATTTTGTGATAACAAGTCTGCCATTGATTTTTCTAGATCGCCAATAGAAAATCGCCGAACTAAGCACATAGACATAAAATATCACTTTGTTAGAAGACTAGTAAATGATGGAGTGTTTGACCTTGAATTTATCACAAGTAAATTAAATACTGTGGACTTATTTACAAAAGCGGCGACTGCTGTTAATTTAAGGAAGTTTTGTTTAGATCTTTTCAGTGTTTAAAGACAATAAGTGTTTTCATATAATAGAATTGAACTATGAACTTCTGTAATTCTGTGCAAGTTTTGTTTTTGTATTTGCATGAGGAAAAGAGGGCTGTTTGTTGGCTTCAGTTTTCCACATGCAAATTTTCATCGGAAGTCAATCGGTGGTGGGCTAACATGCTTGCCGCTGATGTCAAGATCGGCGGGTCGGCTAAGTATTATATATATGTACGCCGGTATCGACGGATGTCTTGTTCTCTTGTGTTATTATGAGTTAGCATAATGCTAGTTTGCTTTCAATCAAATGATTTTAAATGTAAAGGCTACAGTGTTAGCTCTTTTATTTTAATTTACGGAATAAAGCATGGATTTATTCAGATTAGTCTTAGCTTTATTTAAGGGAAGCAAAATATGCTTTGTCTTTATCACCACTGCTAACATATGGGCCCACAAAAACATCAAGGATGTCATCTCTATATACCTGAGCATTCACAGTTACTCTTGGAAAGACATGGAGGTCTGTGCGCCCACCCAAAGAGATGCCACCCCAAACACAGACACTGCCCCTTCAGTACGCATCTCTTTCACGGATGTTTGACGGATGATAACGGGTTCTAGGTTCTCTCCATATCAAATAACGCCTACTATCGCTTTCTAGACTAAACCTGGATTCATCCGTAAAGAGACCACCCTCCACTGATCAGGCGTCCAGTGGACATGTTGTCATGCCCACTGAAAACGGTCGCTCCTATGGTGTGACGTGAGTGGCACATAAATGGCTGGTCGCCTCGCATACAGACCACCTTCACGAAGCCTTCTACGCATCGTTGACGTTGATACGAACCTTCCGGTGGCTGCAGCAAGGGAGGATCTAAGAAGAGTCGGAGTAGCAGTTCTATTCCTGCGTGCACATAATGTCAAATACCGGACATCGGCGCTCGTCGTAGCAGATGGCTATAATTGGCTGAACCTCCTAGATGATGAATCTGTGGTTTGAAATTGTCTCCAAAGTCTATGAACCACATAAGGACTCACATTTAGCCATCTGGCCACTTCAGTTTGACTTTGTCCTGACTCTAGTCTCCCAATGGCTTTCCATCGCAATTCTGCAGGCAAATGATGGGTGGAGGTCATTGTTACGAATTGGCTATCTCAGATTTCTCATGTCACTGTCACAGTGAAATGTGTGGGCTTGCTTTCAAACATGGTCTTTTATGCTCCTCGCAGATGACGTATTCCAAAAGCAGCGCTACTAATTTGCACATCGCAGTTTTACTCAGCTACTCTTACTTGGCAACATATTCAAATTTTACATGGTTTGGCTTATTTTTGAGGGAATTATCGCTATTTTTGTAATTTTTCCTTAATTTATGATAACCAGTGTATTATGAATACAGATGATTCCATAATTTGGGAAGTTTAGCCTGCACTTACATTTCTCTCTATTTCATGATTAGCCAGCATCCAGTACTATGCTATACAGTTGACAACAGAATTCAAAAGAGATTGATGCTCAAAAACATATTTTAGGTCATAATTTCTACATCTACACCATTGATTCAAAATTAAAGTATAACATTCATATAACTGATAAGTGTACTACTACAAAATATGATAAATAAAATGAACAAAAGTTTTAATTCATTAAACATTATCACTTAAAAATATTAAGTCAACATCCCATTTCTCAATTATGGAAATGAAATGGCAGCTTCAGAAAAGCACTCTATACTTCTCAGCTGTTACTTACAAAAACCTATGTCTCAGAATACAATAAATTTAGTTAAATTATTTTAAATTTACATGAAGATAAATGATTAACTCACAAAGCATGGTTTATTTTAAAATAAGTCTTTAAATGTGCATCAGTTTAATTCTTGTTGCTATAATCAATTAGTATACTTAAAAAAAAATTTTTTTAAAGAAAGCTTATAAACTCTGGAAATATAAAAACAAAACTATTAAATGAATATATGTATAGCATCAAATTATGTGAAACTGTATCGTAAAAGCTACTAAGCTAAATACTAGTGATGCATCAAGAAAATATCTGTAAAAAGAAAAAACTGATATGTGTTAAATTATATACAAGCCTCGGCACAAGCTTAGTTACAATGTTCAGTTTTCTACCAAAATTATTAATAACTTTGCATCTAAATCATTTAAATACTGATGAAATACTGATGGAATTAAAAGTTTTTATGCTAATTAACACAGTTGTCTTATTATTTTGGAGGAACTATCATTTATACTTTTGCCTATTCATTAAGAAAACAAATTAGTTAAAATATAAATAAGCATGTAGTTCTTGGGTACAAAGTGAGCTTTTGGCATGACCATTATTTTGCCTAGCTTCCCCTCCTTATTCAATTTAAATCAGCTTAAGCTTAAATTTCATGAATACATAGAAACAAACCAAGGCTTAATAGAGTGTGTTGAATTCATACTTTGGATTCAATTTGAATTTAAACATACATTCTGAATTACCTAAAAGCAGTAGAGTTTTGTTTCTTTCATATTTTTCTGTTTGTATAAACATCACTTTCATGTATTAATAAATAGCTTTTATTTTAAACTTTCGCTTTGAGTTATGATCCCTTTAGAAAGAAGGCAGATGAGATGATAATACATCTTATAATCTTTTAAAGTTCTTTCAAGATGATCTGGCATTTTAAAGCATTGAAAAACCACATTAACTATTTTTTATTTCTGCATAATTCAAAACTGAGATCCGGGTTTCTACTTTGCATCCATATCAAACTTTAATTATCACCCAGATTCCATTTACAAGGCCTCTGTAAATTACTACCACTTATCAATAAAGAATATAAAGACTAAATGTTCCTTTATACAGTTAGTTCAACTAATTAATTATAAGTCATAATTAAGTTACTCCAACATCAAGGGGGAAAAAATGAATGAAAGCAATTATGGACAGAAAATGACTGATTTTATTTTGTACACATTTTTATTCTTTAAAAATTCAATTAAGATTTCTGCACACCCAGATTTCAGAAAATAAAGCTTTTTCATTGTCCGTAAACTTCATTATAACAAAATTTTACTGAATCACCTTCATCTCCATTTTTCATATTGTTTTATTTATTAATTTACGTTTTGAAATTTTGCTCATATTGCTGGACATTTTCAGGGAAAAATTTTAAAAAATTTGATAATAACTTCTAATTTATTTATTCATTCAAAATTATAATGACTGATAGATTTAGCTTCAATTTTTTAGCTTCAATCTAGTCATATAAAATTATAATTATTGACTGACATTTTAAATTTAAGAATATTTACAGCTATTGTAATAATAACTGACAGAATTCAACATATTTTCAAGCATTAATTTTTTTTCCTTTTTAAAAATTTTACTTATGAATCAATTATTTATATGGGAAATAAGAAAAACAACTTCTTAAATACATCCAGTTCAGTCAAATTACAAATGCAATATCAAACACAGAACTGGTCATTGCTGAAATTGAAGAAGAATTAAAAGCATAAAAAATAATATTTAGTATAAAAACCAAAATAGAAGTGCTTACCATTATAAGATGATGAACAGTATAAACATCAGAATCCCCATAATACACCCGAATGGCTCTAACAGTAAAGCCATAGCCCCTCGGTCCCTTCCTAATAATGATTGGTGGTTTGAGTTGAGCAACAAGAGGACTCAGCTCTCTGCTGGGAGAAGCATCTCTCGAACTCGTGCTAGAGCCACCAGGTGATCCAATTGGAGGTGGACCAAAATCATCTGAAAATATATTTGAAATCTAAATTACAAATTGCCAAAACTTTGCATGATGGCATTCCAAATAAAATATTTAAAAAAAAAGTTATATCTGAATACATGAACCATGCGACTTGAGTTTCTTGCATATCGAGTAAAAAAGGGAAATCAGTAGAAAACAGAAAATTTCAGATCTTGAACTAGAAACTGATACTTACTAAATCCAAAAAATCCAAAGTCTCTCTGAAAACTATTGGATAAGGTCAGAACTGCCAGAAATGTAAAACTGTGTTCTCAATTTTAGCATTTGGAGTACTAATTTCATGTTTAGTTTTAGAAATATGTGTTTTCACATTTAATTATAAACAATGTTTTTCCCTTTAATTTTCACATAAATTTAAATTTGGGGATTCTGTAATTTTATTAGATTATTGATGATAAGTAGCTTTTCTGCTTCCTCTTGCAACTAACTGCAATTTCAGTATAATAATGTTTCCAAAAGCCACCAAGCCCATATTTACATCATTTTAAAAGAAGTGCAAATAAGTTTCAGAAGAAAGGAAATGCTTCATAATCTTCAGACATTGAGTAGTTTTAGTTTACCATATATCATTCACATATTTTATATGCATAAGAGTCACATGCAATGCGCAAGGGAGGCTATGGTCACCCATTATATAATGTTAATGACACATGCACTCACACAGCTGCAAAAGTGAAAGTAAAATCTTTTATTCAATTTGAAAATTAAATTGAACACTGTTGAAAAATTAACTTCAATATTCATAGTATGATGTCAATAGCATACATTCATTCTTTTCATGCTCATTACCTGCCTTGTAAAATGCCATCTGCCATCTCTCTTTTTGTATGTGTGTGTGTCACCAATTATAATCATGCAAAAGATAAATTTAAAACTGCTGAAATGTTGGTTTTAACTCTCTATGTACATTCAGGGAAATTTGATTCAATAATGCTTTTCAGCATTTATTTTCTTAAGATTTTCTATGCCATGAGACTAAAATTCAACCTCACTCACAATTTCTAGTTAATAAGTGCATGTGAAAGTGAATGGAAAACAAAAATAAGACATAACTGATTTTAAAATGCACATAAAGCTGTAGTAATATGTGGCAATTAATAAGATTTCAATTTACTTATTTAAGTCTTTTAATAATATAAGCTTCTCTCACTCACACCCCAGTTTGACAATCACAGAAATATGTAAACATAAAAATAAAAATGGCAAAATATGTAAACATGCTAATAAAAAAGTGAAAATAATGATAAAATAGAATATTTTACATTGAAAATTGTAAAAGTGTTACTGCTGAAGCAAACACCACTATCACAAATCAATAAACCAAAAATTCATAAATTTCCTTTATTTTAAAAATAAAAAGCAAAAAGCTAATATATATTCCTCCATTTAATTGGATGAAAATGTTGTATAATGATATCATGTCTCATCAAATGGCATTTCATTAGCTGTCTTTCTGGCCTCTCTAGTTCTCTGATGAAAGAATTTAAGTTCAAAGCTTAAAAGGCCAAAAAACAATGAATGAACTGATAAGTGTAGATAACTCCAGAATGCTTGAAAAAAATTATTAAAAAACTAAAAACACAAAAATAAAATCGTTCTAAAAATTAGGTTTACGAAAATAATACACAAGCATGTGAATAATAAATTTAAATTTATAGACTTTCTCAATCATTCAGGCCTGTAGACTTCTTCATTGTGACGACGAGGTATCCCTGGGTAGAATGGGAAGTTGAGAATTTACTCCTAGCAAAGCCACCCTATGCATGAAGACCATTCCTTTTTGCCAACATAAAGTCTGCAGGCAACGGAGCTGAGTCAATCTTCTTACTTTGGTGATCCAGTTCTTGACCAGAGAAAGCTGCCTGTTTTCCCCATCCATGAATAAATCCTCCTATGGTTTTCATGTTGCATCGGTCATCATGCAGTCAAAAAAGGACAGTGTTCCTGGCTTAGGCAGAGGGTTTGGTTTGAAAAATAAATTACAGTCTCCAAAACCTTTAAAGATGTTACAGCTCAGCATTAATAGAATCCCAACAAGTGCTGCCAAAATTAAGTTGGATCAGGTCTTGCATCTCGCTGAAAATTATGGAGTTCAGATTATTGCATTACAGGAAACTTAAGACCAGTACCTCACTTAAGATTAAAGTACATAATATTTTTTGAACTGATAGACAGAATAAAAGTGAAGAAGGTCTTGTTTTCCTTAGCAAAGACATTAGCTACCAGAGTATAAATATCAATAGAAGTATCAAACACCAACCTTGAGATCCAGGGTATTCAGGTTACCTGGAGAGGTAAGCCTCAGTATCATTAGAATTAAATTAAATAAAGCTAATGAAAAATTAAAAAGAATGTATGCAAAAATTAAAAGAGATTAATGGAATGACCTTCTAATGGTAAATGAGGAAGTTGGTGGAGAAAAACAAGTAAAGAACAGCCTTAAGTTGAAAACTGTAACACGATTCAGAGTAAAAACACAGGTTTTACTTAGGATGATGAATAAGCTACTAACATCTATGGGCAAATGATAGATAATTTAGGACCGAGTGGGAGAGACAGATTCCTTGATAGGTGGTTGCAACGAGAGTTTTCTGCCAAAAAACATGCTTAAAAGAGTTAGAAAAGAAAAGAAAAAAAAAAAAAAAAAAAAAAAAAAAAAAAAGCACATCCTTTAACGTGGGTAATAACCACCACCCAAATGTATGACTCTACCGTTTTGGTAATTTTTCAGAGCCTTCGATCCAGAAACTTGGTGGCTGCGAGTCCAAAAACAGATGAACCTCATTTCGAATGTTCTGTGCAGAATGGAACATAGCACCAGCAAGATGTAGCTCCAGGTATGAAAATAGGAAGAAGTCTGTAGGAACGACATCAGGGCTATATGGCGGGTGTGGAAAAAAATTCCATTCGAGTCTGTACAGAGTCCAGCTGGTGAATACAGACACATGTGGTCTTGCATTATCTTAATGGAACTACCTTTTTGTGTCGGAACTCAGTTCGATGTCTTTTCCTGATAGCAGCATCAACATGGACTAGCATTTCACTGTACTGTACACTTTACTGTCGAGGGTTTTACTTTTTTCAATACTCTTTGTGAATAATACTATGGCGATCCCATCAGATACAAAAAATGATCTTTCTGTTAGTGAAATTGTTCTTTGCGACGCTGCTGATGCACTCACCGGGCACAGATCAACCCCCTTTTCGGCCTGCATTGTTAAAGTGCATCCACTTTTCATTACAAGTGATGATCTCATTCAGAATTTTGTTCTTTTCTTGATATATGAGCAGATTAGTGCAGACCTGAACATGCCTGTCCTGAGTCAGCTCATGTGGCACCCAGCGACAGAACTTGTACATCAAGTTTATGCAATGCAAAGCATGACCAATGGACATGGCACTAACATCTAACTCCTTAGCAAGCTCTCGAGTGGTTGCGTACTGATTTTCTTCCAAAAGTTCTCACAGGTGGGCCTCATCAACATCAGCAGGCCAGCCAGAGTGCCTGCCTTCTTGAATGTCATAGTCTTTGTTTTTGAACTTTTGGTACCAAACCTTCACAGTGTCATATGATAAATATTAGTAACTAAAGCTGTACACATGATTTGGTGACATTTCATAGCTGACTTTTTGCAACAGAAATGGAAGTAAATGAAGGTTCTATGTGTGTGTGTGATTATGGCAAAGCCTCGAGGGCTATCTGCCTAAGGGGAGGGATGCCTTCGTGGAGGACTTTCTAAGGGAAACTGGCTCGTATACACGTTACACATGGGGAAAACCACGAAAACGCCCATGCAGCCAGCCCGTTCGCGGGATTCGAACCTCGGACCGAACTACCAGTGTTCAGCGACTTTACCGCTCGGCCGCTGGTGGGCAAATGATGGTTCTAATCTGGTAGCATGATATATACATACTTGCCAACCTCCGACACTCAAAAATCAGGAGATTTTTTTAAGAAATCAGGAGATTTTTCACAAAATGATAAAAATATAGTTTTTAATAATGAATTAACTTTAAATAGTTACTAATTCTTAAATGCAAACAACACAAAAATACCTTACACATAAAAAAACATTTTTATTACTTGCATCGTTTCAGAAAACGAAACAACAACAACAAAAAAGACTGCAGTTTTCTTACAAATCTTATGAACAGTGGCAGATTTTGCTTTCGTATTCAGAATGTTATGAACAGTGGCAGATTCGTGCTTAGCTAAACTTACAGTAATCCGAAAATGTTTCGTGTGTTGAGCATTTTTTTTTTTAATTTTGAGAGAAATTTGTATCAGCTTTATGCTTATATTTTGCAATATTATTTTGAGAACTGCCAGTTGAATTGCTAAATGGTGCAGAAATTACTTTATTTTTCTCAAGCCTATTTTAACAATGTAAGTAGTAACTATACCTCCATTTACTTTAGGTATTTTATAACTTTCAACACAGCCTTTTATCTTAACTCTCGAAGCATTTACTTCTTCTTTAAAAAATGCAAAAAGGTTCCATCGATTGAGGATTCTAGATAAGCATTTCTTTAAAGACAGCCAGCGTGTACACACATATTTCAAAATTTTTCTTATTTCAGTATTATGCAGCTGTTGAAACTGTTTCAATTTTTCCTTCCTTTTAGAACTCCTTTCAAGATAATAATAAATATCAACAATGTGTTCATCCACATTTATTAGTATAGAAGCTGCTCCTTTTTCAGCTGCTAAATTTAAGAGGTGACAGGTGCACCTCACAATCTGCAAATCTGAATTTTCCTTTCTTAAGATGCCTGCAACACCACTCTCCAAGCCTACCATTACTGGTGCATTATCGGCACCAAGTGCTAAACAATTATCCAAGAGGGATTGCATTTTCTTTTAAAGTTTTAATAATTAGCTGTGCTATATTAAAGCCTGTCAAATGTCCTAAAGTGGGGACAGAAAGTAAACTGCGCTCAATTTCTGAAGACTCTGGATTAAAAAAAGGAACAATAATTC